ACTGTGGTCGATTTTGGTTTCAGTAGCTCCGAAGGACAGTAAAATGAGCTGGAGTTAATGTTGCCAAAAGCATGCAGAACAGAAGGGTGAAAGACTTCAAGTAAAATAAAAACAGGTATCTTTGTGGTAAATGCAATTTCAGTTTGGCCACAAACAGTGATCGATAGCACTGTGTGGTATGTACAGTTCATCTTCCCTCTGTCATACATATAACTCACAATGGGAATAGATTAGCTAATCCGTTTGTGCATTGTAATGTCATTAGTATCATTTATTAAAAAATAGCCACATGCTTTCAGCCTCTGGATAATCCATATCACTCGAATGACAAGGTTGTGTTTATTTCAATGACTGTAAATTGGAAACACATTTTCCTCTTGTATGCACACTGGAGTAAATCACTCTGAGAAACAGAACATGCAGTATCTCACCGACCTGTTCTGTGGATAGAGCTTACACTCTGTTTCACTGTAAAATATCTTGAGCTACAGTGCTACCGACATCAGGGACTCAGCAAATGGATTTGCAAGCTGTATACTAATCTACACTAAGCACGCCAGGGAACAGAGGTTTGTGTTGACTGCTCTGAAACTTTGAGAGATAACTTTTTGGGGGTAAATTGGATTTGTATATTTTTTAAATAATCCCTCCTCTGCAAAGGTTATATTTTGATCTGTCAGAGCGCAGCAATTCCTAGATCTGTAAAGTTGACTCAGATTTTTTTAATGAAAAGCGTCTCGAATTCTCTCTATGTTCCCTTATAATATGATAATTCATTTTGATACTAAAATCAGAAGGCACATTTTTACAGAAAGGGCTGTGGTTGTCTGGAACTACCCCCGCCATGTTGTCGAAACGGATGCCCTGGTCTTTTAAGACGTAGCTTAGCTACTTGCAAATGAGCAAGTGAGATGGTTTGAGGAGAGATGGCTCCTTTCATTTGAAACTTTTCATATGTTTTTATAAGAAGACTCACTGAAGCATTGAGTCCTAGAGATCTGTATAGAATACCATACTTTATACAAAATATGAGATATTATCTATTATAAAGTATAGAACACACAATATAAGGATATTATTGGACGTCTGATTTTCAATTCATGACAGTGGAAAAAAAGGGCTTTTTTCCTCCTCTGGTGTCTTACCGGAAATCTGCCTTTATCGATACTTTCCTTGTGATATATTTTTATGCATCGAGTAACGTGTTAAGAGACCACTATCGTTGCATTTAATCACTTACACAGGGCACACCAGTGCACGGAACTGACTGGGAGCAAATGAACCGCATTCCATCTAAAACACAGAAACGCAAACATGTGAAACTCTCCTGTTCTGCCGTTCTTAGTGCTGCGTTTTAGCGCAGACAGCAAACATTTGCACAGGGACTCTATCCCTAGTAACAAACAATGAGCCATTAAACCTTCGCATTGAGCAAGTTATATAAAAATCTTGAACAAACAACTTTGCACAGCGAACCATTTGTCATTACTAAATTATTTTATGCCTAGCTTCTCTAATTGATATTTTATGGTATGTTTTATTAGTTCAAAGTGGGTTTCAGTACATTTCTTCGAGAAAAAAAGTGAATGGTAGGACTCGACCGTGATTTTGACTCACCTCTCGTAAGTTTTAAATATTTATTTAATCACGTCAAACGAGTTTTCGTGGTGTAGTTTGTATCATTCACGTGTGAGCACATACACGCTTTATCAACGTATTTTTAGGCATCTTGAAAAAAAATATTTAAAGATGTGTAAACTTCGTATTTCCCGTGCTCCTACGCGACGACTGAAACAGCCCCTGTCTCTGGGGACAGACTGGACCTGTAGTTGGTATAATTTCATACAAAATCGTTGGCTTTCATCTTCCAGGTCAGACGACGCGGTGTTTGTAAAGGAGGTAGAATTTAGTCAAGTAAATCATTTTCAATACTTTAGGGCGCGACCAGCATATATATGTGTATTATATATATGCAAAATATGTATGAATAATTAACCTTTCGAAATAGATCACCATCATTCGGCACAACACAACAGGACCGGTACATTTTTTGTATGCTCAACTTAAACACAAAGTGTTTAATAGATAAGAATTTGATCAATAGCAACAATAAAATGTTTCGTGTTGCTAGACCAGAATGGTATATATTTTACACGCTCACACACGTTAGCACGGATTGCATATAGGAAGGGCCTTTCAAAACACAAAATCCGTAATACAGCACCCACCATAAACACAACAGTAAGTGAAATGTACAGTATTTGTAGAGCACCATTTGCCCTCGCAGTGGAGGGACATTCTTCACAGTTCAGCAACAGGGGCTATTGGCGTGTCTGTCTGCCTATGCTTTAGCGCTCCAGCCGCGGGCCGAGCATTAGTCCTGGTCGCTCCTCGAAAGCCGGAGCGGAGGCCATAAATCACACAGCCATATTAAAAGCTTAGCTAAATCCTGAACCAGGTCAGCGCTGAAATTTATGGCATCACTTAAGGTGGAAATAGATTGCTTTAACAAAATATATCAACTTCAGTACAGCCTGCCTGCCTCCCCGTGAAAGTGCTTTAACTGGCTCTTTAGACCCCCAGGAGCCTGTGGTCTTTCATGCTGATCTGCGGTACATTCTACCATTTGAACATTGCCCTCTCCGCAGATAAAATACACATTCGTTTGTAAATGTGCTTTTTAAAATGCGTGATTTGTGGCCCAGGGCCCAGTCATCTATAATACATTTGCAAGAAAGGAAACACGAATTTCCCATTATGTTGTTTTGTAATTAAACAAACCCCGCATTTAAGTAAAACGTAAAAGCAACATCAATTAAGCAGTCTTGCACTCGACAACCAAAAAAATGCTAGCCATTAGAATTTTGGTCCATACACCTTTAACTTTTCTCAATGATGAGGGTACCAAAAAGGGAATTAAAAGTTGGGTTTATTTTCCTAAGAGCAAGAGCAGATAGGACTGCGTCACTCTTTTGTCGAAGCTTCCGAGATCGCGGTTTAAGCGGTGCAAGTTACCTTTAGCCGTTTTATCAACATTTGGCTCAGAGCCTCGGTGCTTTCAATCTAACAAGCAGACCAGCGACTCATAGAACTGTGAAATGAGAGAAGAAAAGACACGTTTCGTGGAAATGCCGCGCGGTGCCAACACGCGCTTATCTCGGTGGTCATCGTGAAGTGGTTGAAGCTCAAACGGACAAACAGCCTATTTCCACAAAGGGTACGGTATGTACTGTTGTGTCTATAAAATCACAAAGTAACTGCTGCCTTACTGTAAAGGACCAACATAGGGAAAACACCACATCAACCAGAACTTTCGATTATTATTGTATTATTATACACAAAGACCAACGCCTTGTCGTAACCTCCGCTTTATAATCATAATTATTGCACGCGACATTAAATGGGTTTTGATTTTCAGTCGGATACGTCTGAGAAATGTTTAAGGACAACGCACTGCGATTAAATAAATGGTCTTCATAGAATATTATAATGTGACTTGCATCATTGAAATGTGTGCCACTTTTATTTAAATTAAATGTTTATCATAGTGCAAACGCGTTTCTCGATTTAATTCAAATGGGTGAACAATTATTTTCCAGGAAACAACGATTTAAGGAGAACCTTTACGTATATGAATAAAATGATACGTCTTGACGGCGTTGCAATTCCTTCACCGAAGGTTTAGGTTTACACAGAGAGTAGCCGAGGTGCCCAAAGGTCGCCTATTGACCGCCGCTGAGCAGAGCGCCGGTGCGCGTAAGCGAGCCGAACTCCGCCGCTGGAGAGATCAGAGGGTAACGCGGCTTTCCTTGCAAATATTTTCTTTGGAGCAACACAAAACCTCATTCTACAAACAATTCTCCTTTTTAAAGAGGGGTCGCATTTGTTTCTTAACGTCTTTCCTTACAATTCTGACCAATTTGGGTTTATTTGACCAAAATGTTTACATTTGGTTTATAGCCGTGACAAAGTAATTTGTTACACTTTCTTAGGGCTTTTCTTCCCATTTTGAACAGCGCAGAAAGCCGATTCCCGGGACTGGCGAAGAATTACCACCACAACTATATATATATACATCCATAACACAAAAAAGATGAGGGAAAAAACTATCAAATATATCAATAAAGGCATCAATAAATGGTTTATAAATCGTTAAGCAAGGGTTTCCAGTAATTAAGCAAAACTTAAGATTTGAAAAGGTTTTATTGACAGCCCACATCCCTTCAAGACGCCGATCAGTAGAGGTGATAAGAACTGTTTGCCCGGCATTGGAAACATTTAAAACACGGACTTGTTACTTTGACACAGTCTATGCACGGATGAAACCCCCCCTGGTAGGATATGCATCGCACTTAGCCAGACTTGGTAACAGCGAGAGGTGGCCCGGGCACCTTTGCTGTCTCAGCGCGGGGCGTGCGGAGAGTCCGCAGGGCCGGGGGCAGGTTACGGGGGGGCTCCCCGGTGTGAGACCGTGTTGCGCTAATTTCCTCGGAGGCTCGAGTACAAAGACAAGGTTGCGTGGACAGTAAGAGGTCCTTTTAACAGGAATACACAAGGAGCAATGGACGCTTATTCTCAGCCTCACAAACGCGTATTAAACGGAGTGATTGCATACCGGGCTGTGTACTATCGCCCCCCTCCACCCCTTCAAAAAATATAGAGACCTTGATACTTTAAAGCTACATGAAAACTTCAAAGAATCTACCCATTTCCAGCAACTACGGCATTTAAAAAGACTGAAAAAAGTCTGTAATATACGTGCATGTGCGAAAATCGTTAAAACAGAACGGACAATCAAATGAGCACAGATACAGAGCGCAAACAGAATTTGATCAACTTTTCGCTGCATTCTAGTAATAGCCACGCAGATTAAAGCCTGGAAAGACCTCGTCGGTTAACCTTAAATCGTTATACAAATAGTAATTCCTGATTTTTGTTTTACAAGAAAGGGTAACATTTTCCACAATTTAAAACTAAAATGTGGAAAATGTTTAACTTACCTTCAACAGCTGAAGCCATGGGCAGCAGAAGGCTGCACAGAAAGACCCAATAATCCATTGTCACAGACCCAAGAACTCGGACATGTAAAGTCACAGGGAAACGGAACAAAATTCCAACGTGGTGATCGGTCCAGTATACTCCGATCCCCCGCTCTCAAGAACGAGTACTGCCTCCAATCCAAGAGCCCAACTCCCCACACAGTGCTCCCGTGGTGCTGTTTCCGACACCGGGACAGTCTTCGTTTCTCCAGGCGATCAGAACCTGACAACAGCCTCGCTCCTCGTACCTCGCATTGAGGTGTTTATCCCTGAAGTTGAGTGGGTAGAATCACCCCGTGTTTATAATCGCGAGCGATGAATGAAAACGGTGTTATATTTACTAGATTCAAGCCGTGCTAGTTCCACAGGGAGAGTCAAGACTGTCGGGCAGGTTCCGGTGTCGGATGAAGGTTCGGAAAAGAACAGATAGCCCCACTCGCTGGCTACGCTCTCTCCATGCCACAGTAGTCCAACCATGTACGACTTTTACAAGCATGTACATATATACACGTCTGCGTGTAGAGAACTCCAGTAAAAGCGCCGCGGTAACACTATAATTCCCTGAGCTACTCTCGGCCCGGCTGCTCGCTGTTGCTACCTCTCAGTTCGCTCTCCGTGTGCGTGTTGGAATGAGCGAGTCTATGGCAAGAGCGTGGAAAGAGAGACGGGGAGGGGAGGAGTTACAGCGGCTGTCTGTCTTCTCCTAATGGGCACACCCCCGCAACTCATTCTCAAAGCTTTGCGGGGCTGCGCTTTACTACTATACGCCGATCGCTTCTCTCTGTGATACCCTGGGACTGTGGGGCTTCAGATCAAACGGGGACATTTAACCAGGAGGCTTACAGCGGTGACGCAGCGCCCCCTGCGGGACAAATATTAATTGTAGTAATGTTGCATGACAGTACAGACTTAAAAATTGCAAGAATTGCAACATAATCTATTTATGGTCATCGTTATCCATTATTATATAAGGATAAACTACGTTTTTGATTGTTTGAGGGTGAGTATAGAACTGCGAAAAACTGAGGCCGTTTGCGTGTATCTAGTTCTGATTTCGTAAATTTTGCAATTACATTTGTAATAAGGGCAATTACGAACATTGCCATGCAGCAGATTGTCAAGCATTCCAGAGGATACGTTTTTTTTACATAATTACTATTTGCCCTCTCAAAAGTCCCTCTCTTGAGCTCAGAGAGGAAAGAATCGAGCTCGAAAGAATCGATTAAACCTGGACGAAAACTAAAACAATCTACCCATTAGCGCGCCGTATTTCCCCGTGGATACAGAAGGAACAGAGTCTTGCTTTTGACTGTTAAGGAAAATCTCCACGTCTGCGTTGCACTCGCAGTATTATTCACCAGTCCTTGCGCACAACAAACGTTTACGAAGACATAGTCATTGGCTTTGCTAATGACAGCACTTACCGCGCATTACTAATAAACAAAACTGGTCTCGAACAGAACTGAATCTCAATAAGTACATTTTTGCCAGCTGAAAATAGTTACTTTAATATTTCATAGGCAAGGACAGTGTCTGTAAAAATATGAATAAAAAGGCGAGCTCACTGGAAAGCACGTTAAAAATGCGAAAAGTCAAAGGAATTTTAAGAAATGTATATCCATGTAATTTACGTATTTTTATTAAAACATATTGAAATGCTCAGGAGGAAAACTTTATGCGCAAAATAATCATCAATAATACGAAAATGTACTAATTAAATATCACTGCGTGATTGTTTATAATTTGGTTATGTGGTTATTTCAAAGCATTTGTTCAACACATTATGCATCTGTATTTTTTTTCTTTTTAGAAGTCACCTTAAACTGCCCTTTACAAAGCTGGAACTCACACGAAACCCGACTGATAGAGGAAATGAAGCTGAATACAGAAACGACTCTCCACGGCTGCAGTTAAGATATGCCTGGATTGCGGCGAGTTAGTCTTTTTAAATAAATCCCTTGTATATCTATATAACGAAGAGTGTTCTAAATTAGCATAACCGTTGGAAATAATAGGCAACAACAACAATAGGTCATGGAGTGCCTACGATCGCCAGGCGGATGTGCGGTGCGGACTGACACCGGGACAATCCCATCGCTCTCTCTGCGCTCCAGCTGCCGTGTCACCGAGACAACCAGCTTAACCAGATCTAAGGCCGCGCGAATTACTGCTGAAACTTGTTTTTTTATCTTTAAATATAAGAAAGTGTTGATTACCAAATAATTGCCTGTAATTTCCAGTTTGCATTGTTTATTAGAAGTAGTAGTATTGTACACAGTATGTAATTACTATTAATTATTGTTAAAAGTGAAATATAATTGAAATCAGGAATAAAAGAGTCTCACAAAAAGCTACAACACACAATATTTAAATAAGATAAACAAGAGAATGCTAAACTGGCCTAAATATAGCAATTCTTCTGAAATTGAGAAAGGTTTATAATGATTACTAAAAGTTACAATCGATAGGAGACTAGTTTGGTCATCTAGGCCGTTATAAGTAGCCTGTTAAGCAGAGAATGTAATCTCAAGGCATAATTAGCTA